ATGTTTAAGATTTAAAAATATAAATAGGTTAAGGTTATATTGCCAATCATTAAATTCCATCATGAATAATTTGAATTAATTCGTGGTTAAGTACCTTTATTTTTTTTTCTTTTGAAATAATGCAGAAGTAAGAATTTATCAAAATATAGTTGGTCTTCAATCATTGTTATTTCAAATTCAATTTTCAGAAGAACAGCCGATCAGATTAAGTATGACATCCGACCAGATTTATACACATTGGAAAGCAGGGTAAAATAAACAATGTACTGTATATCGACTGGTTAGACAATAGACCTTAATTAGGTGTCCCCACCAGTCCCCGGTCAGCTAACAGGAAACTATACATAACGTACAGTAACAGATTTTTACAAAACTTAAAATTTAACGTAACCATATAACAAATTATAAATTATGATTGTAGGCAAAAAGACAATTATTTTGATACCCATTATGATATATAAAGAATTAAAGCTGAAGATGATACGTTAAAAAATATGTTATAAACTTAAATGTTACGTTAAGATTGTCAATTATTTAGCACACTGAGGCTGATTTGTGCGTTTTAATAATACCTGTCGCATTGTATGTTCATAAATATTGTCAAATATTGTGCTCATTTATATCTGTCCAGTTCAGTTGTCAATACTGAGTATCATGAATATGATGACGTATGTGGAGACTTACCAAAGTATTTGAGTCCTGGGTAACAGGAAAGATAACTCTAAAAAGGAAGTTTGCTGGCAAATATTTTTTTCACATGAATAAATTTAAGACGAACTGAGAACAGGTCTTGGAGAAATAAAACGTAAATTAGAGACATTGATTGATGCCAAATTATATGTTGTCTTCGGAGACCAGGTTTTTCAACAAACTGTTGGAATTTCCATGAGTAATAATTGTGCCACATTATTAGCAGACCTGTTTTGTATTACTATGAAGCAGATTTTTTTTCAAAAACTTCTTCATGAAAAGAAGGAGTCTCTTGCTGTGACCTACAATTCGACATTTAGATATACTGACGACATTAAAGCAATTAATAATATTCATTTTCATTCATACGTTGATTCGATATATTCAATTGAACTCAAAATAAAAGATACCACGGAATCTGACATAACTGCTTCATATTTGGATATTTTACTAGAAAAATGACATTGATGGTGTTAAGATAACAACTAAATGTTGTGATGTACATGATGACGAACTTTTCTATCGTCAACTTCCCTTACTTATGTAGCAATATACCATATGATTATCACCTAAAATGGGATTTATGTCTCACAAGTGATACAATTAAGAGCATGTTCTTCGTATGAATGTTCTTCCTGCCTCATTACTAAAATAAGGCAGCCTACCGACAAACAAGCTGATGGTACAAGGAATCTACATTCTCGTTTGAAGTCAAAATTTCGCAAATTCTAGGGCCGATACAAAAATCTTGCTTGCAAAATACAATCTGTCTGTAGATCAAATGTTCACAGATGCCTGACATACAAATTATTAGGCTATTGTTTTCATACTGAATTTACCATGAAAAAGGTCTGGATAACGAACAATGATAAATCTCATAAATCCAGTAAACAAAACAAATTATAAACAGGACAAAAGCACGGACCCCAGGAAACAACAGAGGTGAATTCAGGTGCCTAGGAGGAGTAAGCATCCCCTCTTCACCGGTCACACCCGCCGTGATCAGGTAGACGAAATATTCCGTAGTCAAAATTAATATAAAAACAAAGGTCTAGCAATTGTTATGAATATGTCAGTCGAAATACTTACTATTTGCTAACAAAGTCATTATAACGGCCACAGAATTCACGAAAAGCTGACTTAAACGGTTGTTGAAATCCCTGTAACATCACCTTTTCAGTCAGTAGCCTATCTCGGTTTAAAAATTGATTGTACCCAGAGCATGCTCTTGAATATAAAATAAGGTGGAAGACATAATCACCATTATATATTACTACATAAATATGGAAAATTGACGATGGAAAACTGAAGTCATCTCGTTTGTCATACAGTTTAGTGTTAGTTGGCCCTTATTGTCCATAGTCAGTAAAACATTCAAATATGCTGTGGTATCTTTAATTTCGAGTTCAACTGGGATCTATCGAATCGACATATGAACAGAAGGAATTATAATTGTTAATTGATAAAACGTCATCCATATATCTGAATGTCGAGTTGAAGGTCGTAACAAGCTTCTCTTCTTCTCATGTAAAAGTTTTTGAATTTATTCTGCTTCATAGGAATATAAAACAGGTCAGTTAATAAAGTAGCACAATTAGTGCCCATCACAATTCCAACAGTTTGTTAAGAGACAAGGTCTCCAAAAAATACATTTATGTTGTCAATGAGGAACGCCAACATCCTTTTAATATCAATTTCAGAGTACTTGGTTTGTAGAATCAGTGATTTTTAACAAAATAATTTTGTTGATGACCAATCATAAGATATGAAAATTTTCTAGAATTCCATATTTATTGAAGAAGCAGTAATCTGTGATATCAAAAGCCTAGTTTTCAATTTATCGTAAGGAATGGTTGTATTGTGTTGGAAAGTCAAATGTTTTGACGTTACTGACTTCTGAAGAAAAAAAAATTGTGATTTTAATTTTTTAAAAGTTTTTGAGAATTCACATTTGATTTACATCACTTCTAGAATATGTTGTAGCACATTACGTCTGAGGTTTCTCCTTTACAGCAGTTCATATTTTTGTATAGAGTAAAGGTAGCAAAAATTACAAAAATTACATTACCTATACGGGAAGACGCTACAGACAGAACGAAAAATCGAACACCTTTTTCGTTAAAAGATCTCAAAAGATGGCAATCTGTCCAGTTTTAGGTCTCGAGAAATATTATGCCTGGTCAAAAGAAAATAAGGAGGATTTGAGTCTAGGATATCTCTTAGGATTTTACAAAACACAGGGAAATTTTTCCTCCCTAAATCCAGCCTCTACACCAACAAAAAATTGAAGAATAAGATGTGGTCAACCTAATATGCTAATATTTTATGTACGTTTACTAGTTGAGTGAATAACCTAATTACTAAGTTGATATGATCAAGTCAATACTGTTGAGTAATAGCTTAATATGTATTTAAATTTCAAGACTTGCATATAAAAAGTATGAGGGAAATAAAATTGTTGTGTTATCTAATTTGAGTAAGTATTGGGTAGAGAAATTTAACTGGATGTACCCTTTTACAATTATTAAGGCTAGAACACACTTATGTCTTTTAGTGTAATTGACATTACCCGATACTCTAACAGAAGCGCGTATTGTTTCAGATAGTTATTAGTGGGGATATATGTTAGGATCAAGAATGAGAACGCCTGATAACAATCAGCACCATCACTTGATGATTCGCAGAGTAATATTACCAAGGTATAAGCCAGGGTGATGTGTATTGATGTAATATCTGCTAATAACACTTGGTTGTAAAAAAAAAAATATATCTTAAGGCCTTTAAAAAAATTGACAACATACACTTCTTTTGTTTAAATGAAATGATAGTTATTAGTGGGGATATGTAAGGTATCTCAGGGGGTACGTGATCGACTCCTGATGATTTGGTGAATTTTCATTAGGGCATGCATTGATCTACATAATTCTGGATGTTTTAGTCCCCTCGCTCGGGACTGGCAAGGGTTTGTGGGTGCGGGTGAGGGCTAAATCTTGGAAAAACAAGTCAAATTCTACCCCTGGTGCATTTTTTGGACTCTTTAGGTGTAGATTCTGTGCTACTGTATATGCGTAGACATATTTTTGAGTTCTGGGTAGATGAAGTGGAATCAATCAGCCCCCACGAAACTGTTCCCAATTATCTGTTTTTACTGACCTCATGTACATGTATATGCCCACCCTTCAGCATAAACTGTCATCTGCCACGTCACACAATGTAACAAGTTACTACTACTATCATACCATTCTATTACCACTCTTGTAAACATCTAAATTATATAATTTCGCATCTCAGTATCAACTACATGTAGTATAACAGGCTAGAACGCATTTATAGACAGTATAATACTGTGTATAAATCTTTATTTGTAACATGGAGAAATTACGTAAATTTAGATATTTTTTGGATGTAAATAAAGGCAAGTGGGTAATCTTTTACACCTAACTATTGCTTTTTCAATCAAATAATTCCTGCGGAATTAACAAATGGAAGCAATATACAAAGAGAGGGGGAATCATTGTGTAACAGTAACTCGATCAAAAAGAAGAAAGGATTTGGTTTTTTGGGGTGTCCTAAATTAGATGGGGAAAATAAACAGGATGAATAGTGTACTATATATGAATATCCTGTAGTTGAAAAAAAGGCAAATTCATTACGCTGTTTCTAAGAATGTACTGAATTTCATTGTACGGTATAAATCCTTCACCCATCATTAATTTTATGATATATCTGCAATTCTACAACCTGCATCTATATCCTTAGTTGTTAATAATCTATTCAGGAAGAAATAATTGATAGCAATGATTAATCACATTACCTACATTCAAATAAAATTTCTATTTGGTACAATCCAAATTACGATCGTAAATAAATGTGTGTTATTTTGATGCCTTAGGGAAATTCGGTTCATACATACCATGAATACTTACATGATTTTCTCAAAGCAATAAGCCATATCTGCATTTACATAATGAGCTTCGATGAAATCAATACTTTTATTTATCATATCTTTTTCTCCATCTTTGAGTGGTCTACGGTTATATACTATTAATATTCCAATAAATAGTTCTCTAGAATGTAACTTGCTTTAACCTCATTTGTTGATTATATATTAACCCTTTTCCATAGTATCGATGTTTGAAAAAAAACAACAGGAATTGTCCCTACTCTGTTAACATTTATTCTTCATTTCTCTAATGTATTGTTGTAAATGCTACATACGTTGGGTTTATCATTTTCTCAATATGATGGGTCGATCGTGGGACATTCAGCGTTTGCAGGCATGATAATAAATTTGCTCTGTGTAGAGGAGCCACATATTGCTCTGGGGCGCCATCTAGTGATGGTCAGGTGTATGTGCTGTTCTCTTTTGCTACTGACGGAAAATAAATAATAAAAATTCTACGGATCATTGGTTAAAATCTCAATAATGAAGATAGTTACATGTTTCAGTTTCATTTGTGCATGTGCCATTTCATTCAGTGGGGGAGTTAAAGGTAAGAATGCTTCGTTTTTTTGTACTGAATATGAGATAATTGATGCGCGCAATGTTTCTTACAATATACATGGATATACCTCGTACTACCTATTCGTATCTGTGGATAGAATTAGAAAAGGGATTAAATATTTTAAAAGTTCCTCATTCTGTGTTTAAAATGATTTTTTTTTGTATTGATCCCCATTTATAATTGATTTATTACTACACAACACTTCATGCGCAAAGATCAGAGAGGGGTTAGTAGGTCAACATCTGCACTGTAGGCAGAAACACACACGCCTGTAAACATGTGAAAATAGTTCTTAATCTTACAAATAAAACGTCAAAAATGTCATAAATTTCCAGGAAAAAAACTCACACAAAAAATTTATAAATAAAAAATAACATATAAAAGAAGACATGGCTTGAGATCTTGAAAGCTCTCATTACACACGCTGAGGTAATGTCGAAATTTTCAGTGAGTAGCTCAATGGACATGATGGGAAATTGGAAAATATGCACTACATACATCTGTTATTAATATCGCATATTTATTGAATGTAAATTTACTTAAGCAAAAAGTAAAAGTTTGGAAATAATTTGAGAATTTTTTTATTTGTAAAATAATTTCTAAAGGGAAGGCATTTCTTATACTTGTACACCATTTACCGCGTATACATGTATATCTGTTTCGGAGCTTGCTTGATAAGATGAATGGTGATTATCATGGAGTGAATAATAGACGTAATGTAAGCTGACTCTAGATAAAATACCATGACAACCATTGGTGAATATTCGTAAAATTAATTACCCCCGAGATTTTCATGACATTGGTAAATGTGAAAGATAATTAACACGCCCCATGTTGATGTTGTCAGAAACTGCAATATGATTTATCGATTGTGTGCAAGTGACATTTATATATCTGAATATGAAATGGTTGGATTTTGTTGTAATTACAGGCCTGAGTGACATCTTCTGTCCGCCTAATTATCATCACTGCGACGGCACATTGTACTGCTGTCCATCTGGCTATATCTGTATTGGGTCAGCTACATGTCTTCACCTAGCGTAAGTTCTCCTCAGGGCGCGTTTGAAAATTGGTTAAATACTATTTATATGCGTGTATTGTGAATATAATTATAAGCATTTATATATAATCAGAAAACTATCTTAAGTTTTATTAGATTTTGCAGTTCTTAACATGAACACTAAACAAGGCATGTCTTGTTTTTACAACTTCCTTCCTCAACAGCTTGTTAGTTAGACATGCCTTGTTTGTTTCTTTCTTTTTTCTTTTCTTTTTTTTTTTTCTTTTTTTTTTTTTTTTTTTTTTGCCTGTCTTTAAAATAAGTCCATCCGCTTGCCTGTGGACAATTTAGATTTCATGTCCATATCTTTCTTTTAGTTACGCTTTAAAGTACAATTAAATTAGAAATTTGACATTAGACTATAATTCATTATAATGAGGATTTACAGAATAAGATTTATTTTCAAGGCATCGACGTTTAGTCTATTGATTTATAATGATGCGTATGGGGTAATTCATTTTTCAAACACTAGTAAAAAGTTATTACATGTATAGAAAATACAGTCACATCGAGTGTACTTCCATCTTCATCAATTTATTTCATTAACTTGCTTATCAGCAGGGTTTTTTTATTTAATTATTTTGATTTGTTATTATTTTTATTTATTTTTTAAGCATTCATTTGATAATTTTTCTTAATTTTGAATTTTAACAAAAGATTGAGCATATTGAAGAAACAAAAATGCAAGATTAAAAAAATTAATAGATATCAAGACAAGAGGCCCATGGGCCACATCGCTCACCTGAGCACACTGGCTAGGAAGAAGCAGAAATCAGTTCAGTATTGAAAGGGGGGGCATTAAATTTACACTTTTTTCCAATGTATTCCCATTAGAACTCTGATCGCTCATTGTGGCCCCACTCTACACACCCTAAATTTGAATCTACACTACCCAAGGATGCTTCTATAATAATATGATTAATCATGGCTTTGCTGGTCTTGAACAGAAGATTTTTTCAGATGATTCCTTTATATTCTAATGCAAAACATAGACCCTCTGTTGTGTCCCCCATCCCTTGGGGGTCATAATTCGAACAAACCTGATTCTACAATACCTAAGGTTGCTTCTGTATAAATATGACTAATGACTAACATGTTCTTCAGGAGAAGATTATAAAGATATTTTATATGTAACGTGTATGATCAGGTTTTTACAAGGGAATAAATTCTAGGTTTTTCTTCCACTCTGTCTGAGTTAATGATTGGAATGATTATTATGACATCTCTATCAGTCTATCTGGGGGTATATCACACGGTACTTTAATTTTCTCTTATCTAGAGACAGGGACTGGGTAAGATACTACTTGCACCGGGTTTCTCCCCTAGGTTCCCATTGATAGATAAGAACCGGGTGTCTCAATCTTCTTCAGATTTACTACAACCAGAACTTAACATCAATTACATAGAAAACTTGTCACTGGTGTTTATAACTTTATACTTTTATTTTGCTCGTACCCTTTATTAATTTCTTTCTTGCTGATTCTACATCTATCTTCTTCTTCTAGTTATTAAATGCCTGACTATCCCAAAGCATTGCCTTATATAACTTTAGGCTAGTCCATTACGAGGGTTGTCAGGTCATTCCACTTTTTGAAGTTTTCAATACGTTTTCCTCAAATGCCCCTTGACCATTACACCTAATAGTATACGTGTATATTCCAGTGTAAAACTTTGACCCACTGTTGAGGCACCGCCCTACCCCCAGAGGTCATGATTTGAACAAATTTGAATCTACACTACCTGAGGATAATTCTGTATTAATATGACTAATAATGGTTTAGCTGTTCTTGAGAAGAAGATTTTTAAAGATGTTTCCTATGTATTCCTATGGTAAACTTTGACATGAAGAAACATGAATCTAGAGTATGTAACGAAGCTTTCACACAAGTTTCATCTTTTCTTCCCTAGTGATTCTTGAGAAGAAGATTTTGAAAAGATGCCACCAAATTTTCACGAATTCTTAATTATCTCTCCTTGAAAGAAGTTGAAAGAAAGTGTGGCACTTCCTTTGATCAAACTTAAATTCCCTTCACCCAAGGATGCTTTGTTGTAAGTTTGGTTGAAATTGGCCTAGTGGTTCTTGAGAAGAAGTCGAAATCTGAACAGTTTACAGACGACAGACGGACACTCTTTGTCAGATCAGAAAAGCTCACTTGAGCCTTCGGCTCAGGTGACCTAAAAAGTATAATAGAATAAATATATCTTTCTGCAAGAAAAGTAAATTCACTTATCTGCGATCTGCCAAATTAACTCGTAAACCCGTACTATTACGTATAGTTCGAGTTTACGAGTTAATTTGGCAGATCGCAGATAAGTGAATTTACTTTTCTTGCAGAAAGATATAATATTTATTCTATATTTATACTGTACGTCTTGGATTTTCTGAATATGTTTGAATGGTTTTATTTTAATTTTAAAACTATTGCCCTTATAAAAATTGGGAAAGCTAGAAATTGAAATACACACATTTGTTGTGGACCTCATCAAAATAACACATTAACAGTACGTTTATAACTTGCACCCAATCATGATTACCTAAGACATATGCTACATGTAAGCAGAAAGTAAACAATGTTTATGTAAAGCGCTAGCAAACAACTGTTTTCATTTTGTTAATGACTAACTAACATTGATCCATTGATTCTGAGGGTGAGAGTAAATACAAGGATACTAGTGTTTTGGAATATCTTAAAATTTTCCGAAGCAGTTGTTTCACCTTCTTGATATTTTTTCTAATTTCCTTTGATATTTCTTCGTATTCAAGTACTCACAGTATTATTTTCCCGTATATTCCTCATGATTGTCAGTTTTGTAGTTACTGAAGAAATCAATGATTTTTTTTGTAGAGTCATTATCGGTCCTATCGTAGGTCTGGTGGTCCTCATAGCCTGTGTGGTCGTCTGCTGTATCTGCTGTAGTAAGTATCTGTGTGGTCGTCTGCTGTAGTATCTGTGTTTTCGTCTGCTGTATAGTAAGTATCTTGTGTGGTCGTCTGCTGTAGTAAGTATCTGTGTGGTCGTCTGCTGTACTGCTGTAGTAAGTATCTGTGTGGTCAACTGCTGTAGTAAGTATCTGTGTGGTCATCTGCTGCAGTAAGAAGTATCTGTGTGGACGTCTGCTGTATTTGCTGCAGTAAATACTATATAAATACTGCATCAGTTGAGTTAGTTCAGCATCGAAAATTTTCCTTTCAATTTGTGACCTAATTCATTAGGCCCATAATTCCATTTTTCTATTAGTTAAATTCGTTTCTCTACGGAGGAAACGATCAGCCGTATTTTAGAGCTGTTGGTAGAATAGAAATAAAGTTCCTGTTGTCGTGAAGGAATAATCTCCTCGGTCTCGAATATTGTTTGAAATATAAAATCCTCAGTTATCTTGCAAACATTCACGAAAACGCGAACTTCATTTCTTAAATAAACAATGAAATAAGTAAATAAAGAAAAGAAATCATATCCTCCCATTTTCAACCTTATTTCATCACTCCTGCGCAGTCCAATTCGGGGGAAACAATTTTCCTCATTATTAATATTATATTAACCAGGCCTGCTTTTTGAGATCTTTATTACGTTAAGTAACGCCAATTTATAGTAGATTTACTGTAAATAATAATATATAAAATTATATATTATAACATTGAACAGATTTGTTTTTTTGGTTCTTGATAATATCAGAGACATGTCTCTGATAATATATCATATATAATACGATATTGTGTAAATGAATTATTCCAATTTCTCAATATTTTTTTTTTTGGTCATTTTTCAGGGCGAAGACGGTCCACGCCCGGTGTGGTATACAGTCCTACACCACAGGGACAAATGTAAACATTCGTGTTAGTTAATATGTATGCAAAACAAGACTTTGTAGGACTTTATGTACTTAAAAATGTGACGTTGCCTTTCCTATACCTTTTAGATATATTTGTAGCTAACCCTTTGTAGCCGTTATAGCTTTACTGATCAAATTCTTCCGACATCTATACACATATACGTCATCTACCTAGGTTTCTCACTTTTCACGTCTAATTTAAAGACAAAGGTTTGTGAATACCTAAGAAAAATCTAAAGGGGTGGGGATAAATTGGGAAAGGAATTAATGTGCATATTTTTGCCTTATCAATGAACGACAGGTGAGCGCGATGGCCTTTTACTCATTTTATTGTTTATTTGGTGCTATATACTTTCATGCGGGTGATTAATTGATTATTTTTGGAATTTCACAATAATTTAAAATATAAATTTTTGCATCAATTTTGATGAAGGAGGAATATGCCTTATATGGTCATAATTAAATGTACTTTTCTTTTAGAATTTGTCAATACTGTAGTAATTGTGTGTGTAATAAACTAAAATGAAGACGTTCTATTCTTTTATTCGAATATTTGTCATCAATTTATGTACTTATTTGAGGTACTTACATCTGTATTTTTTTCTTATATTTATATGTTCTTTTTCAAACATTAAATGGTAAATAGTAAAACTTTTTTATATTATTGTTTTATCAATTCTAGAGTACCTGCATGTTGGTCAAATATGAACTCGATGCATAGGTTATTCATTTGACAAATTATAGCTTGTGAGAAGAATATTCATTTCAAATAAATAATCATCATTGTCAATTTGGTAACATAGTGTTACTTACGATTTTTTAAAAATAAATACCAAGGCTTTATGGTAGATTTGATCATTTATATTTATATCCCGGTAGATGTTTTTATTTCTAAAAAAAAAATGATACCTTGGTTATTGCTAATATACATGTATCAGTGGCGGATCCAGTAATCTTGAAAAGGAGGGGGCAGTTTGAAGTCGGGGTAGGGCCCACGGCCACACCAAAAAAAGTTTAACTATTAAATCTTATGTATATTTTGGACACAAAGAGGGGGGGGGGGGCTGCCCCCTCTAAATCCGCCAGTGTATATGCATTTGTGATTGATTTATAACAAATATTTGTATCATCAAATGTAATAGTTTTCACTTTTGATTAGTAAATCAAAGAATAAAAATCAGAGATTTACTACAAAAAAAATAAAAACTTTTTACTATAGCAATCAGAGTATGTACTTTGACTCTTAAATAAACTATAGTTTATAGTTTACAACAGTGAGTTTAGGTTTTTAGAATAGCCCTTTAGTTAACAGTAGTTCGCTTATATCTGCTTTTGAAAAATCTTAAATCAATAAAACATAGGCATTACAAGTCGCATGGTATATTGTATGGCTCAACATAATTTATCAGTACATTCAAAGTAATGAGTTAAACATTTCTTTTTAATGACCAGACAAATATGAATTTACAATTTATAAGATATGCAAGGATATTTCAATGATTTAGGGGCAGAATGTGAGTGAAATAAAATTAACACTAATCCTTATTTTCTCTTTATGTACATTGAAAAAAGGGTAAGTCTATAAATTAGCAAATGTTTGGGAGCAGACTACAGGGAGATTCCTTCACAAATATATCGCATATAATTAAAGAGGACAACTATAATTCAAACACATTAACCTATGATGAAGAAACTAGGAATCTCACCAACCACACGCCAATAACACTCTCCAAAACGGCGAGAGACATATACCTACCTTTCTTTTCAAGTCCAGTAGACTATTAATTAAACAAATGTGTTCGTAAAAGGCACGTAACATGTATTACGTGTGATATACTCTCTTTATATACCTACATAAAGAGAGAATCTTCTTTAAGATTTATTTCATTTGTGAATTTTTTTTTAAAAAATTCCTAGAAGATTTCAATCTATCAATGAGATTTTTTCTAAGGGTATATTTTAATACTAAGCATGCCACACGGCAGCCGAGGCTCTCCGAATCATAAAACAATAAAGCTCTTTGATCTCTGTAAGTGATGATCTACCTTACAATAAAAAAAGATGCTGTCGGCCATTTAAGGACATCGATACTCAAAAAATATGTTATAGAAATATGTAAAACAATTTAGGCAGGTTTATTTATTGCAAAAACATATTTTCATGAAATTTCCTTATCAAAACAGCCACAAATTTTATTCATATTCCCAAAATCTATTCTTTTATACATTTATTAAAATTCAATTTTTTATTCATTAGTTCTTCGGCATAATGTTTTTGCTGATTATTTTTATTATTTAACATTTAGATATATCGACGACGTATTATCAATATTAACATTTGTTACTTCCATTCATTTGTTGATTCGATATGTCCCAGTGAACTTGACACCACAGAGTCTGACACATTTGTTTCATATTTGGATATTTTACTAGAAAAAGATGCTAATGGTAACTTAACAAAAAAAACTTTATATGATAATTTTAAACGTGATGACTTCGACTTTTCTATCGTCAACTTCCTTTACTTATGTAGCAATATACCCTTATCACCTGCATATGGGGTTTATGTCTTCCATTTGATTCAATATGCAAGAGCATGCTCTACGTACGATCAGTTTTTAAAACGAGGCAAGCTACATGTATTAACGAACAAGTTGAGGAAATCAACAGTCTCGTTTAAAGTCATCATTTTTGTAAGTTCTATTGTCGATACAATGGCCTTATCAGCAAATACAATTTATCATTAAGTCAAATGCTGACTGACGTTTTTCATACTAATTGTTAGGTCATTATTTAAAAAACTGAAATTTTTACTGATTTTTCCGTTTACCCCATCATGAACAAAAAGCACACGGCAGGTGTGACCGGTTGACAGGGATGCTTACTCCTCTATGGCACCTGATCCCATCTCTGATGTTTTTGGAGGTCCGTGTTTGCTCTGTTCCCGATTTGTATTGTTTAAATGAACTTTGAGCTTGAATACTGTTTGTTATCTCCATATTTCATCAAAAAAGTTCTGAGTGAGACGCTGTTTAAATTTACATAATGAGTCAAAATCATGTGTTTCTTTTAAGATAATTGTATCACAAAACAAAAGATTTATGTAAAATATGAATATAGCAAAGTTTTGAAAACTCAGCTGTACTGTAAAGCAAGAAAATGTAAGTGCCGGAAAAACAATGTCAAGGTCACGCGACTTTCATTTTTAGCGTGAAACTTGTAAACAACATTGATTTGGAGCAAACAAAAGTGAGGAATAAGTTATGAGCATCTTTATTTAAGATTGTATCAAAATCCTAGTTCATCCGACATTTATATCTATAGAAATTGACACCATGGTAAATTCTTCAACTTTTCTGCGCATGCGCACAATAAACAGGAAGAAGTAAAGCAATATTTTTGCGTTGGGGCAAACTAAAATTATTTTGACTATTATTTTTCTCCAAAAAAGTAGTTTTTTAGGTTCTGAAACCTGTAATTTTCTGAAACCTTATATCTTTTAGAATTGAACAAAATTTGCATGTGTTATCCATCAATTCTACTTTTGTCAGCTTTCCCCTTTTTCTGTCACAGTGTCACTTCAAGGTACAGGGTATTTTATTTCAATGGTCAGCACACAGTAGATCAATGAAAAGCAGAACAAAAAATAAAGAGGTCGTAATTTTTATTCAACATTCACTTACTTTTGAAGCCTCTAAATGTGAATATAACTTTTAAGAAATCAAAATAATAAGCGAAGAATACATGTACATGCACGTTTTAATAGAATGTGAAACCTTTTAAGAGAAAAAGAAGACAAATTTGACATTCTGTTTAATTGATGGGTTTGGTACAAATGCATATAAAAATATGTAATAAAATCTTCATTTTCTGGTTTCGCATTATAATCTCGATTCGTTCCAGAGCTTACTTCTATAACTACATGTAACTATTAATTAAGGCTATATTAATTAAGTTGCTCATATTTCTTCATTTGCGTGATATATGTACATGTAAATGTTCATTTTCTCTCCACAAATGGATAAGGGTAGAAGGAATTCTTTCTGTTGATGTTAATGCGATATAACACCTCGTATGGATACGGGGTTTCTGGCTTAGAGAGGGTGTCTAGCTCGTCCATCTATAAATTAAAGGAAAAAATCACGGAAATGTTGAGATGACAATTTCAAACGACACATATATTAATAAACTTGGAGAAGGAAAATGATACAGGAATTTAAACAATTTCCATTGTTCATTTTGTTGCTCTTTCTGTTTCTCTGGGTATATGTGTTTGTAGTATCTTAACTTTGGTCATTCAAATGACTAAAACTTATGTTGTACACATGTAAATGAAGACTAATTCAATAACACAACCAGTATTCATATGAGAAAAGTTATGTGCATTTGGGTTTTGTTTGTTTGTTTTTATTTATTTATTTATTTTTGTTTATTGTTTTTGTTTTGTTTTTGTATTTTATTTATTTATTTTGGGCCTAAGCAGATTTTAAATGAAGAATACTATAACTGTGATGAAAATAAACAAATAAAAGTTACCTCTTCTTTTGAGAGTTTCCAGTTATTAGCCGCCCCAATATTGTCTTCTAGTTGCTCAATTGAGTTGGCTCCGATGACGACAGATGGAACCACGTCCTTCTGAAGTAGCCACCGGATAGCCACCTGAGGTATGGTCTTACCTGAAAAGAATTTATACCAAGTAATTTCTGTTTCATCAATCCATTCGCCCTCTGTCATTTTAACGCTGCATAGTTTAGAAATCTCGAGTGAGCATTTGAAATTTTACAAGTTTAAAAATCGTAAGTCTACAAATTGCATAACTTCCAATCACATTTTACACGTGACTAGTTATGCTGGATAGTTACAAACAACATTTTATGATGAAACAAATGACAAATTTTGAAATTATGATTTACAATCTACAAATTAAGATTACAGAGTTAGAATTTTTTACCTTTTGGCTTTCCATCCTTATCCATATGCTCTTACTTCTATTCGCATTTTGATTATACATGTATTTGTATGACCCATTTTCAATGAATATAAATATTCATATTTATATATCGGATATTGAATATTTCTTTAAAGAGAGGATATAACCAATTTTAATCCAACAGAAAGAAAAGTTGTTATAAAAGAAAGTAAGGCAATACCATGTTCTTTAGCAATATTCTCCATGGCTTCCAGTAGTTTCCAGAAACCTTCATTTTCGTCATATTGACTCCAAGCGGGGGCAATCTGCATTGCCTTGAACTTGTCCCCAGCAACAAGCCCGATTCGTCCATCTCCTACTTTTGGCCGTACCCCACGTTTGTATTTACCCGTCAACATTCCACTGCGAGAGAAATTTAATACCTTTATTGCAAATATATAGGTCAAGATATCATATCATATAATTACTATTTATTATTTACTTTTTACTAGAGAAAGACATTGATGGCAAACTGACAATTAAACTTTATGATAAACTTTTTATAGCTACTGTAATTTTCCTTTATTTATATAGTAATATATTATTATCACCTGCATATAGAGTTTATGTTTCCCAATCGATTCGATACGCAAGAGCATGTTCTACGTTCGCACTTTCTAAAATAATGATTTCTTGCTTTGCGATTGATTATAAATTGAAATGTAGATTTCCTCTGCATCTGATTATACTTAAGAAAAAAATGAACATTGGAAGTAAAAGAAAAATTAAATCCAGTTTTAACAACAGGGAGGTTATAAAATAATTTACCCTTTTAATGGACTCCAAGGTAGCACACCAAGACCCTCGTTTTTACAGACTTGAAATTCTTCAAACTCCGGATGCCGACAAAGTAAACTGTATTGTTGCTGTGCAGAAAATAAAAAGCCGACGGCACGTATCTTTCTTTGTATTAAACAAGGTGCAGAAAATAAAAAGCCGGCAGTACTGATCTTTCTTTGTATTAAGCAAAACAAATATGTAATATAGCTTTCTTGATGTTCATCTGTCTAAAAGTAACTTTTAACGTATCAACAAATCAACTTTACATGAATGAAGAATTCAGGGATCAGGAAACTTTCATGGCGAGTCGAATGACTTATGTGCTTCCAATATTGTTTTAAAAAAATGACAGCTAGAGGTGAATGTCTTGTTTGTGTATCATCATACATACCTGGAGACTGATTATTGGTGAGTAATTTTCCGACTTGCAGAGATCCACCACTTTCTGAAGCTGCCAGCCACAAAGATTAGACACCCCGATGTATCGCACCTTACCGGATGTTACCAGATCGTTGAGCGCCCTTAGCCACTCCTCGGGAGGTGTAGCATTGTCCCAAACGTGCACCTATATCACGAAAATCGTAGAATATATTATAATCAGTTGCAAGCAATGACATAGAGCCCTTTCACGCAATCAACTTTGCATTTGTCTTTTCATATTATCAAAATTATTTCAAAAATGTAGTGTAATTTCCATCATTAATAAAAAAGAAAGAAAAGTAAAAATATTATTAAATAAAATATTTGCTATCGATTAAATTGAGGCCTTTTTTCTTATGGCACGAAAAGTAGTTTAAAAGGATCACGTTGAGGGAATTTAACACACAGGTAAATAGAAAATAATAAAGTTCTGGAAAGAGTAACAGTAAAGAGAACATTTTAAAAATCTTAAGATAATAGATTGTCCTAAGCATTAGCTCAACTTTTTAATCTTCATTAATATTGAAAGTTTCTGACAGTATCATGCCAGTTCTTGTCAAATGAGAACTCAGCCTGTTTGTTTTTTCATTATGTCCCAACGACAAGGCTGCTTTAGAAAAAAATATAAACTTTGAAAAAAATTCTCAGAAAAGTATGAGTAAAGACTAATCTTTACCTGCTTAAAAATGGCAATAATAGTGATATTAATGATAAATTTTAAAAACAAAAATAAACTGTATCTTGCATCTTATTACGTTTTACTGATACATGTACATATTCTTCAAATACCACATTCGATTATTATATGTGCGTCACTGCATGGTACTGTACATATACATGTAATATTTACCAAATAGAGCGTAATTTACAACAAGATGTGTTTGTGAAACACTCATGCCCCCGTATGACAGCTTATGGCAAAGGTTAAATTTTCTCAAATACAAGTCAAACTCCATGTCAAAAGATCAAAAATGGTGGCACCCAGAGAAAGGTCTTGTCTCGAGGAATATATCTGTTAAATATGAAAACCCTAACACAAACCGTTGAAAAGTTATGGCAAAGGTTAAAGGTTTTTTTCAGAAGTAAGTTAAACATCAAGGTCAAGGTCAAATGGTGCCCAAGCCCTAACAAAAATATACTATTTTTGTAAAGATTCATAGTAAATCAAAGTATCAAAATATTTACTATAGTTACCTATAGTAATTTTTTCTAGGGAGGGAAGGTCTTGTCACAAGTGATACACATGTATGTGAAATATGAATGCCCTAGAACTAAATCTTCAAATGTTATGACCAAGGTAAATTTTAAGTAGGTCAAACTCCAAGGTCAAGGTCAATGGGCCAAAATTGTTGGTATCCAATGGAAGGCCTTGTCACAAGGAATACACATGCGAAATATGCAAGCCCTCGCACCAATTGTTCAAAAGTTATGGCCAAGGTTAAAGTTTTTCAAAAGTAAGTCAAACTCCAAGGTCAAAATTTTGGTATCCAAAGAAGGTCTTGTCACAAGGAATACACATGTGAAAATGAAAGCCCTAGCACCAACTTGTGAATGGTTAGTTCTAGGGTTTTCATACTTCACATATGTCATCCTTGTGACAAGGCCTTCCTTTGTATACCAACAACTTTGACCCTTTGACCTTGACCTTGGAGTTTGACCTACTTTTACAAAACTTTAACCTTGGCCATAACTTTTGTACGGCTGGTGCTAGGGGGTTTCATACTTCACATATGTAATTCTTGTGACAAGACCTTTCTTTTGATACCAACAACTTTGACCTTTTGACCTTGGAGTTTGACCTACTTTTGCAAAACTTTAACCTTGGCCATAACTTTTGTACGATTGGTGTTAGGGCTTTCATACTTCACATATGTAATCCTTGTGACAAGACCTTCCTTCTGATACCAACAACTTTGACCCTTTGACCTTGACCTTGGAGTATGACCTACTTCTAAAAAAATTTAATCTTGGCCATTACTTTTGAATAATTGGTGCAAGGGCTTTCATACTTCACATATGTATCCTTGTGACAATACCTTCCTATGGATACCAACTTTGACCCTTTGACCTTGGAATTTGACCTACTTTTGAAAGATTTTAACCTTGGCCATGACTTTTGAACGGTTGGTGCTAGGGTTTTCATATTTCACATGTGGATTTCTTGTGAGAAGGCCTTTCCTTGTGCACCATTAATTTTGACCATTTGAACTTGACCTTGATGTTTGACTTAATTTTGAAAAACTCTAACCTTTTCCATATCTATTCAATGGTTGCTGCTAGGGTTTTCATATTTCACATGTATATTCCCCGAGACAAGACCTTACTTTGGCCAAGTACCAACATATTTGATTTGCATTTAAGAAAGTTTAACCTTTGTTATGAGTTGCCATACGGAGGCATCAGTGTTTCACAAACATATCTTGTTATCCATAAGAGGGTCTTGTCACAAGGAATACACATGTGAAGTATGAAAGCCCTAGCACCAACTGTTCAAAAGTTATGGCCAAGGTTAAAGTTTAATAAAATTTCGCAAAAGTGGGTCAAACTCCAAGGACAAGGTCAAAAGGTCAAATTTTGATGGTACCCAAAGAAAGGTCTTGTCACAAGAAATACACATGTGAAATATGAAAGCCATAGCTCCAACCAATCAAAAGGTATGGGCAAGGTTAAAGTTTTTGCGGACAAAAAAACCCAGACAGACAGACAGACGGACAGGGCAAAAACAATAAGCCCCCAAATCTTCCATTACGGGGGCATAAAAATTAGGTTACACTCCTAGTTTTTGAAAATGTAAATTATATTGTTTTATAAACAATGGACACATACTATCATATGCAATCTACTAGCATTTTTCCCCAATGAAGAATAACTTGAAATCGCAATATATTGTTGTTTTCAAAATAAAAGAAAATGTCCTGATTGAAACGAAAACAGTAATACATTGCTGATACTAACTTTAATATTGCGTTATCAGAGGAAAAGCTGATTCAAAAATTTCCAATAACCTGATAGAGATCTATGTAGTCTGTCTGAAGACTTTTAAGACTGGCGTCACAGCTCTGCATGATGTGTTTTCTTCCTAACCCGACATTATTCACATCCTCTCCCATATCAAACCCAACTTTTGTGGCTATCACAAAATTCTCCCTTTTCTGTCTGTTAAAAGAAATCATTACAGAGTAAAATTTCTTTCAAAGTCCAACTACAGATATACAGGTATAAAAGTTATGAAAATTTCGTTTGTCTTTAGTAAACATGTATTACTAAGCTGGCAAACAAGAAAATGCAATCACGTAGAACAACAGCAGATGCCGTTTTGATTGATTGTTGTTTTGAATCCCATTTGAGAATTTTTCATTCATACTGGGATGTCGCCATTTCTTCAAAATTAGACCTATACTCGGCACTCAGGGCCATTGAGCAGTGAGGGTTCTTTATCGTCCCGAAGCCTACCGTGACATGGGGCCTCGGTTTTTAAGGTCTATCAGAAAGACCCTTGGCTTTCACTTCAAGTGCTGTGCGCTTGGCGAAGGAACAGTCATTGCCTATGTTTACGTCTTAAGTTTGACGCGGCGCGGCAAACGAGAAACGAACACGAATTCGGGCCTCCCTTTCACTAAGCGAACACCTTACCACCTGGTTACCGTGACCGGTGATACCAATGGTTTTCCAATTTCTATCAGTAAACAAAAACTTACTTTAAAAATATTAAAAAAGATTTCCATCAGTATGGAATGAGAACATTAAGCTTAATTCGTAAGAAATGGGTAGATTTTTATCAGTAGGATTTCTATATAATCTTGTTCCTGAATAGATAGCCATCTGTAGGAACTCTTTATAACATTACAATATCTACTGGATTTCCATGTGACTATTTTGGAACAGATATGCTGGAAGTCTATACGATATTGTTTTTAGTATTATGAACCATCTCATACCAAATGCTACCTTTGAATAAACTTCATTTTAAACTACTTAGTATGCCAAGCCGTTACCTTGCATTAATTTATTTTAAGACTAAAGAAATTACCGTGAGTTAACTTTTTATCTCCTTATTGACCAAATGAATACAAAAATGCAATTTGTAAGCTAGAGGAAAAAAGTTATATGCAGTGATCGAAACCAGTATTTCGGGAATAAAATGTAAATGTTATACAACAACGCCTTTTCACTATTTTTCTTGTATTTTCAAAAAGACGTATATTTATATGAGCAAGGGTTTGGATACAAACATTCAGTGAGACGACAATCAAACTTCCTTCAGAAAACGTCTCTCATTCTTAATATAAACAGTGGGGCCTCAACATCAATAATCCGGCGCTTTACCTTCCGGACGATGTTTGTTTTTCGAGAATAGAATTTGCATTTATATCTACCATTTATGAAAGGAACGTTTCTTTTTGAAATATTTTGGATTATCAACGTTTCGACATGAGCATAACTGAAGAAATAAATTGTCGAAATGCGCATCTGGTGCAAAAATTGGTACCGTATATGATTTACATTCTGTGATCCGGACGATTTATTAATCCGGAAATTTTGCCGAGGAACACAAGCTTTTGGATTAACAAGGCTCGACTATATTGTATAATGATGATTTAAATATATTTTGTCAGATTAACTACTCACTTCACCAACCACTCGCCAATGATACCCTCAGAAACCCCTTTAGAATACAAGTTTGCAGTATCAATAAAATTTCCTCCGAGAGCAGCAAACCGGTCGAGAACTTTATGTGAGGCATCCTTGTCTAACTTCCCTATCTATAAATAATAAAACTTTCAGATTAAACTTAACATTGCTTTATGAAAATATTTGAAGAAGGTTACAAATTTTTACTTTGTTAATAAATGAAAAATTTGAATAACAACAGCTATACTTATCAGTTGACATTTCCACAAAAAAAATAAGTTTTATCGGAAGCGATATTTTTCTTATACTGACTGAAGAATAATGTAATGGAAGTTGTAACTCTCCTGTAAATTTTTTCATGTGGGAATACTTTGGTAAAACCGAATGAAAACTTACCGTAAGGGAAAATCTTAAGATAAATTGCAAATTGTAAGATTTTCAATGAAATAGTTAATAGGTAATTAAAATATGAAACTTTGTGCTGCATTATACAATCAAGTTACTTAGTGCATATCTTATCTGAATAATTCCTTTTTTTTCAGTAGTATGCACTTAGATGCCATAAAGTCTATGATCATTTACACCTTATACTGTATATTGTAGGCTGGGAGGAGCCTCCATACTTTCTGACGTTATCAAAGTTCAGTTCACGAGAAAATGTTAAGTAGGAAAAGCTTATGTTTTTCGAGAAATTTGTTATGACAACCTGTTACGGACTGAATGACAATTAAATAATCAAATAAAATTGTTCTAATATGCTATGTGATATTGGGAAGGGGTTCATGAAGAGGGAAAAATTGTTTTTAAGCAATGTTCCATACCCACCTGTTGATGACCGAACGTCATAGTCCCCAAACAAATATTGGACACACGAAGTCCTGAGCGACCGAGGTAATTGTATTCCATGTCAGAAGATCCTTAAGGACTGGATTCCGACCTAACTTTCTTTTTCTAGATTTTTCTTTCTTTTTCTAGATTAATAAAGAGTTTATGAATGTTAAATCCTAAATTTGATGAAGACCGTATACAAGACACCTTATACGTAATCCGGGTCAGATTAAATCTAATCGTGTTAAGGCAAAACATTTGTTTAATGAAATATCTCAGGTAGAATGCTCTACACCATTTTAAATATCGTGTTAGATTTCAATTGGCCAATATAATATGTTTTATCTAGCTTTCTTTAAAAAAATTTATATTTAATAGTTGAGTTCTCTGTGAGCTAACGAACATATGTTAATCTCATAAGTCCTATAAGTCGCCCGCGTGGCGCAGTGGTTAGTGCGTCTGCTCTAGAGTCGCGAAGTAAGGAGTTGATCCTTACGTCGCGGGTTCGAATCCCATTGTGGGACGTGGAGACCGGTCCTTCGGATGAGACCGTATAAACCGAGGTTCCGTGTCGCAGTAGGTGCTGGCACGAAAAAGATCCCTCACTGCTCAATGGCCGTAAGTGCCGAGTATAGGACAAAATTTGCAGCTCTCCACTGGCAAGTGGTGGCGTCTCCATATTGGTGAAAAATTCTCGAGGGGGACGTTAAACAACATACAAACAAACAAACATAAATCCTATAAACAATACAAGGCAAATCACAAGATGTGGGATCAGGTGCCGAGGAGTATTTAGTATCCCTTCTCCTTGGTCCCACCCATCGTGAGCCCTCTAGATCTGTATTGATCAGGTAAACGAGTAGTTCCTCGTCAAAATTATCAAAAAAAAAAAAAAGAAATAGCAAAAATATTGGTATGAAGCATGGCAATTATAAACAATCCAACAATAGGTTGAATTTGCAATGAAAAAGGTGAAGATAACGAACAGTAATCTATCTTAAAAATCTAAATACAATGCAAATTTGTGCAGGGCAAAAAACAAGGACCCATGGAAATTCTCTAGGTAAGATCAGGGCATAGGAGAAGTAAGCATCCCCTGTCGACCGGTCAAAGCAACCGTGAGCCATATGTATTGATCAAGTAGACGCAATAATCTGTGGTCAATTTTTAATATAAAAACAAAGGCCTAGCACTTGAAACATGCCAGTCAACATACGGTAGTTTGTATTTGCAAGCAATGTCTTTATGACGACCATAGAATTTTCGAAATGCTGACTTTTAACAAGACATTTGAAATCCCTTTTACATCAATATTTGTCAGTAATTATCCTGCCTCAGTTTAAAAATTGATCGTAATCAGAGCATACCCTTGCGTATCGAATAAGTTGTGAGACATAAACATCATATGCAGGTGAAAGTGGAATATCACTACATAAATAAGGAAAGTTGACGAAGGAAAATGCTGATAAAAAGTTGTTAGTTGGCCATTTTCTTCTCTTTTCAATAAAACATCCAAAAAATGAAACAGATGTGGCGCCTTTTATGTCGATTTCACTGGGATATGTTAAGTTGACATATTAATGAGTATAACTTTTGTTAATTGAAAAAAAACGTGGATATATCTAAATGTTCACTTGAAGGCCACAGCAAGTTTTCTTCTTCTTAGTTTAAAAATTGATCGTATTCAGAACATGCTTTTCAGTACGGAAACAGTTAGAAGACATTAACGCTATATACAGATAAAAGTGCAATATTAATGCATAAATATGGGAAGATGGCGATGGAAAAGCCTAATTTCTAGTTTGCCATTTACGTCTACAGACAGTAAAACATTCAAAACATCCAAATTTGAAACAGATGTGACATACTCTGTGGAGTAGCTTAATTCAAATTCACTGCGATAAATCCATTCAACATATAAATGAACTATATTACGAGTATTAATTGATAAAACATTAATATATCTAAAAGTTTAAATGAAGGCCATAACGAGAGGCAGAGTCTTCTCTTTTTCAAATAGAAGTTTTGTAAAGAATTCTGCTTCATAAGAATATAAAAACAGGAGCACAGCTACATGTAGAACCCATTAGAATTCCAATAAAATGTCTGAAGACCTGGTCTCTAAATACTAGTATATGTACTTTTAAAAGAATATTGTCAGTGAGGAACTACAGCACTTTTTCAATATCAACTTCAGAGTACTTGTGTGTTTACACATTAATGGTATTTTTATCTTTAAGATTTGTTACTGGTATGTCTGCCGAATTCTCACATTTTCTTGTTTCAGTTTATTAATTTTTTTTTTCAAAGCGTAAATGTTTTATATTTCCTTATTACCATAAAGTCAAATCTAGAAATTGCAGAAAAACATGAAGAATATCAGCTCTCAATATAGGCTATAATATTTATTTGTTCATATCTCTCCATATGTATCTAATATTGTACATTTTTAAAATTTGTTCTCTACGAATGGATAAGGGTAGAAAGAATTCACTCTGTTGATGTTGCTGCGATATACCATCTCGTATGGGTACGGGGTTTCTGGTTTCGAAAGGGCGTCGAGCTCATCCATCTATAAATAAAAACATTAAGGAAATGCTGAAATAACAAATATATATAAAAGCATTCACTCGGGATATTTTTTTTTTCAAGAATACCAATCGAATAGTTTGTTTCACAGGAACCAAATATCAATGCATATTCTTTTGTCTTGCACTTTTGATCACCTACGAACATTACATCGATATATAAGGTCCATCCTGATACCACTATATGTTGTTGCAACTACCAACAAGAAAGTAGACAAGAGAATAAAAAAAAACTTTATGAAGATTGTGGAAAACAACTTTCTTTTTTAAAAATCTTTTTTTTTTGGAAAAATGTCAGCGATAATATGTGCCAGTCGACAATATATACGAGCACAAATTTTGAAAAAAATAGAATACACCCAACTGACCATGTAGGTCAATTGACTATAGTCTAGATCCTTCTTTATACACGTCCAATTGCTTACATATCAATTCAGCCTAAATCCTATAAAGTAACATTACTTTGGTTTTAAAGTTTTTTTTTCATTTCTTTTTCTTTATTATTCATGGAAAAGGTACATGATAGAGGACATTTTACAATTTTCCATTTAGTTGATACAATTCTCTCTCTCTCTCTCTCTCTCTCTCTCTCTCTCTCCCTCTCTCTGTGTGTGTGTGTGTGTGTGTGTGTGTGTGTGTGTGTGTGTGTGTGTAGTATTTTTTCTTTGTTCCTTCAAAAATTAAAAAAAAAATTAACATACGTTTTTAATTGAGATTGCGTATTTTTACCTGAGAAGAATCGATATAATTATAACAAATCCACTAATAGGATGGATGAGAAAACTTGCATTTTTACTTAAACAGAGTTTGACTGAAGACTCTCGTTATTGTGAGAACAAACATTACCTCTTCTTTTGAGAGTTTCCAGTTATTAGCCGCTCCAACATTGTCTTCTAGCTGCTCAATTGAGTTGGCTCCGATGATGACAGACGGAACCACATCCTTCTGAAGTAACCATCGGATAGCCACCTGAGGTACTGTCTTCGCTGAATATTAATTTACATCTACTATTTTATATATCATTAATTCACTGTTTTACTTGACGTTTGATTGTTGTACTTTTTAACGATTTACCTTTCAATAGTATACTGAACAAGAGACTTTTTGCCACAATGCTCCCCCTTTTCCCTTTCTTTACTTACTAAGGAGTATATTGATAAATGAAACCCCTTTTATAACCCCAAACTAGGTCAAAACAACAATCTTTTCCAAATCAAGTTAAATAAAGCAAATGTTGTAATTGCATTAAAATTAATTAAAAATTAAAAATTCATATGAATATCAAATCAATAAGAAGACAGTTAAATACACACGTCAAATAAGTTCTTACAATAGTGTAAAGGAATTAATCGACAGTACCATGTTCTTTAGCAATTTTCTCCATTGCCTCCAGTAGATTCCAGAAACCTTCATTGTCGTCATATTGACTCCAAGCGGGGGCAATTTGCAATGCTTTAGACTCGTCCTGGGCAACTAGACCGATTCGTCCATCTGCTACTTTGGGGCGCATCCCACGTTTGTATTTACCCGTCAACATACCACTAATAATAGATTTTCATAAAATAATTCTACCAAAAATTAAAATTCAATACAAGGATAAGTGTAATTATAAAACCATTTTTCTCAGAACTCAACAAAACTGACATAATTGATTTTAGTAAAACTGGGTTTTCCTTTCAATAACATTTCTATTATTTAAATCATGAATTTAAGTATCTGCATTTAATTTAATTATACAATGGTTAATTGTATATAACTTAAACTTTTGTTAACTTACAATGCATCTGCTAATATCCGAGAGACATTGCATGGGTTTCTAATAGGAAATATAGATCTAGATATACTATGTAATCACTTTTTGTTACAATTGTTAATCTCCATTCTTCAAATAAATCTGCATTCAAACTCATTGGACAGGTTATGAATTTAAATACACGTGCTGATTAGGTCAATTTGGCCGTAGTAAGCACAAGAGATGGACACGTTATCCTGTGATCATAATTTTCTCCTTTATTTTGTCATGCCTGAATTCTTCTAACTACAGAGGTAAGCGTATTATTTTCATATTTATTTAAAAGTTTCTTCGTTGCATTTAAACATGCTAAAAATAGCTTACTAGATAAAAAAAATTAAATGTCTATTTGACTTTTCTTAATATGATTTTTATTATATATTTATTTACATTATACAATAGTTGATAAATAAATGTTTTTGAACTTTTAAGTGTCTACATTTGAAAGCATAGCCCCCCTCCCACTTTATATATTTTCTCTAAAAATACAATACAAAAAAAAAATAAATAAATAAAAGAAAACAAACCCTATAAAAGTACCTAACTCTGACATAAAGGAGTCTTTGAAACCATTTACCCCTTTAATGGACTCCATGGCAACACACCAAGACCTTCATTCTTACAGACTTGAAATTCCTCAAACTCCGGATGTCGACAAAGTAAACTATATTGTTGCTGAGCAGTGGATGAAAAACAATAGCAGTAACTTACTTTTTTGCAAGCAAACAATAATATGCAATTATGTTTTTGCCTAATACTTATTTTTATATATATCATCAGACCAACTTTACTTGAAAGGAGATTTTTGAAATGAAGTA